TTCTTTAAAGCTGCGTCTACAAGAATTCTTTGACTATTGTTGTACTGCAAGACATTGCTTCTTTTTAATCAAGAAATGCAGTAAATCATCTTGTACTATTTGTCGTCCTTCCTATTGTTTGCCAGAAGATTTTAAACAACTTCATTGTCTTTCAGATCTCGTACCTGGAGATGATTTACACTATAAGTCATTTGAAGAATTGTATAGCATACGAACAATAGAAAATCATAAACCTTCTCTTGCAAATTCTAAGAAAAAATGAATTATGGTAAAATGAAAACAAAATATATCATACTATTTTGTCTATCTGCTGCACGTGCAAAAAATATTTGTATTACTGTAAGTTGTGTTGAATATAACAAGTCGCGTCTTTTATTTAGCACAAAAAAGCTTTCTGAAAATGATTTTAAATTACTTCAAAGATTCTTGGATACAATTTTTTATACTTGTGGCATGTTATTTCATGGTACATCTGACTTATCAATGACCATGCTGTCTAAACAGCCTGACCTATATGATAATTTAGATGATGATTTTAAGAATAATACTGATTCAGATAAAAAGCTGATAATCAAGAAAGTACAAATAAAGAGGATGAAAATGATGAAAGTAAATAATCTGAAATTGAAAATTCAGATAATGAGGACGATTCAGATAGAGATATAGACGATTCTAATAATAATACAGAAGATTCTATTAGTGAACTTTTTTCAAGAGTTTTTGTTAATGACTCACTGTTTTGTGCATCAAAAATTGAAAAGCCATATTATTCGGCCAAAATCTATTCAAATATCTGTATCAATTGCAGATGCTTAGAGGTTTCTAAACCAGAAAGAGGTGACTATCTACATTGTAATGGCTGTAGTGATAACTCTAATCTGAAAAAATTTAAACGAAGTAATAGTAGTAAAAACAAATAAAAGTGAATATAAAAAGCTTCATAAATCTAAAGTTCTATATAAAATATAATTTATACACCTGTAATGTATGCTTATATCTATCACTTATATAATAAATATTAGTATACCTTGTGTTATTTGTTTTAGTA